GCTGCCCTTCAGATTCCTGACAAACAAGCAGCTTGGTTAATACAGTTCCTCCTATTGAATGAATGGATCAAGAATTAGACTGCTAGGGAGAGGTTAACAAGCTTTTTATTAAGTGCCTACTATGTGCCAGGCTCTGTGCTAAGCTCTGGTAAAACAAAGAACGGCAAAAAATAGTCCCTGTTCTTAAGGAGCTCACACTGTAATGGGAGGAGACAACAAGTAAAAAACTGTGTACATAGCAGCTATATACAGAGTAAACTGCAGGTCATCTCAGAGGGAACACTCCCATCATTGAGATCCTTGAATTAATGAATTGTTGAAGTAGTCAAGTGAGGCCATACTGATCTAGAGTTGGAGCCTGAATTCATCAGTATCTCTGACAAAGAACTGCAACTTTCTTTCATATTTTAAATATATCATGCATTTATTATATTGTATATAGTACATGCTATTTATATTATCCCCCTGCATTTCTGTTATATTATCATTTTAGGTCTTCCAATGGATATAATATTACTTATAACCACAACATTCATATAACTCTTGATGGTGATTTTGTTTTTCTTCCACATTTATATCCAGGATTACACAAGAAGCTCTGAAAGCCCAAAGGCAACCTTAAGGAAGTGAAATTAATCAATCAACAAGCATCTATTAAGTGATTACTACGTGCCAAGTACTGTATCTCTTATAGTGTATCAAGGTCCTTTTTGTCTAGAGGGAACCTCTGAGCCAAGAATTCTTCATAAACATGCTTCCTTGTAACGATGAGGTCTCAATATCATTTTCAAGTACAAATGCAGAATGCCTAGGTAGACAAGTATTGTAGATAAAAAAAAATCCATCTGATATTCCTGACTCTACTGAGCTACTGTAGAATACAGGGTTCAAGATAAGGAAAAATGACAACTCTATGGATTGATGATTTGTGTTTGATTTTTTTAAGTGTAAAAAACATTCCAAGGCTTTTATTTTTCAAATGTGGCACTTAGTTGGTAGGGATAGGGTTGGTTTGGCATCTAGACTGGTGATGTCATTGGTGTGAGTTAGCTGCCACTGTGAAAGCTCTCTGGACCAATACAGATCCAGCAACTCAGCTGTAATTTAAAGTCTTAGATGGCCAGAAGAGACACTGAGAATTTCAAGGGGCTACTATATGTCTAAGTCAGGAACTGAATACAAGTCTTTCTGACCCTGGTTCAAACTTTCTGTTCATTATACCATGCTACTTCTCATTTACATGCCAACATAAATTACAGGAATATTAAAAATAACCTGATGTTTAAGTCTTTGAAGCTATACTTTTTGATATGATTCAAGAAAATACTGATTCCTACTTTTGATTTAAAATCAGGTATTTACTCAAGAGCCTATGAGAGCCATGAAATAAGAATTCAAAATGTTTGAATATTAGAAACAAATAGTGCTATGAGGGTCACAATTCTTATCTGATGAAAGTCAATGGCATGTGAATTAACAAGAACAGAAAAAATTGTAATTCATATTCTTGTAAGAAGATAAATAAAAAGGAAAGCAGCCTTGGAATTAATAGAATCTAAGTCCAGGAAAGGGAAGGTAACCTTCTTGAAGGCAGGGACAGTCTTGTTTTTGTACTTATAGCTCTAGAGCCTAGCACAGCACCTGACACATAATAGGTGCTTAACAAATGCTGTTGATTGATTACTTGTTATATAATTGTTGACTTGAAAGGGACTTCAGAGGTCAAGTCCAATCCACACTTGAAACTTGATTGCCTCTACTGCATTTCCAAGAAGAGGTCGTCTAAGCTCCATTTGAAGCTCTTCATTGATGGGAATTCACTACTTCATGACGCAGCCCCTTCTACTTTTGGATAATATTTTGTTAGGAAATTTTTCCTTAAATAGAGTCAAACAAAATCTGCTTCTTTGCAAGTTCTACCCATTTACTTCTAATTCTTCCCTTTGGGACCTAATAGAACAATATCTAATCCTTCTTCAACTAGACAGCTCTTTAAATGTTTAAAGATAGGTATATTTTCTTTTCTTTTTAAAAATAATTTTTTTTGATGAGGCAATTGGGGTTAAGTGACTTGCCCAGAGTCACACAGCTAGTAAGTTTTAAGTGTCTGAGGCTGGATTTGAACTCAGGTCCTCCTGACTCCAAGGCCAGAGCTCTATTCACTAAGCTACCTAGCTGTTCCAATATGTATATTTTCTTCATGTCTTCTCTCTCACCTAAATATCCCCAGTTCCTTCAACGGATCTTCATAAGTTATGCTCTCTAAATCTTTCACCATTCTGGTTGCCCTTTACTGGACATTTCCAAGCTTATCAATATCCTTCCTAAAATGTGGTACCTACAATTGAACACATTTCAGTTACAGATATGGGCTGACCAGGATAGCGTACAGAGGGTCTATGATTTTCCTAGTTCTGGACTGTCCCTCTCTTACATGCAGCCTAAAATTTCATTAGCTTTTTTGACTTTGATATTACATTGTTGATTCACGTTAAATTGGCAGTTCATTAAAACCAACAATTTTTTTTCAGATGAACTGCTATCTAGCTTTGCTTCACCTATCTTGTATTTATAAAGCTTTTTTTTTAGCCACATGTATATGATTTTATATTTATCACTTTTGCATTTCATCTTATTAGATTGGGCCCCAAATTGCCTGTCAATAACTTTATGGATCCTGACTGTGATCTAACATGTTAGCTCCCAGTTTTGTGAAAATTTGATAAGCATACCATCTAGGGCCAACCACAAATTCCTGGTTCACTTTTTTCCACATTGGTCATTCATGATTTGTCTCAGAGCCTGATCATTCAAACAGTTCCAAAACCATATAACTTTAATATCATCTATTACATATCTTACAGGATCATAGATTTAGAGTTAGAAGGAACCTCAGGTTTGTCCTTAGGGATAATTGGAGAAATTTTGTGAAACATTTTGCTGAAATCTAGGTAAACTATAGTCATAGCATGCTACTGATTTACCTAGTCTAGTAACCTTGTCAAAAAAGAAAGAAAAGAAAAAGGTCAGCCTGTAATTTCCTGTTCTTGATAAAATTATGCTGCCTCATTGTTTTCACAGTTTTATTCTGGGAATTTTAATAACCATCCCTTTAATGATATATTCTACAATTTGCCAGGAACTGAAGGCAAACTCAGCTAAGTTTGCCAACTCCATTCTCTTTAATTAAATTCTAATAAAATTTTTATTAAGTACCACTACCTGCAAGGCACTGAGGATAAAAAAAATGACAGAGCCCCTGATATCAATGAGCTTACATCCTAGTTGCGGCAAAGGGATGGAACATGCATCTTGGCTCCTTTTGGTGGACCACATGCTGGAGTGCAACCAGTGGTACTGGGTTGATTTCAGTTTGTTCAGGAGGCTGTGGCCTTTGTTGAAGATGATTGACAGCTGAGCTAGGAAGAACTACTTCCTCAGGCTCTATATAAAGGAGTAAACTTTTCTCAAGGGAAAAAACTCGTCTCACTTTTGAGCATATAGCTTGAGGCTCCATCAGCATCTACTTTGGACTTCTAGTGGTGTGGGGGATTTCTCCCTTCCTCACCAGCACCCATGTTGCCTATAAAAACACTGCAACAAGCCTAGACAGGTCTGAGAATAGATTTCAAGTCTCTGCCTATCTCTTCTGCTTTGTGTTTCTTACCTAAGCTCAAATGACCAAGCAGTAATCCAGACAGATGGACATTTCTAGCCTTTGTGAGTAGGAAATAAATAGCTGTCTTATACCTGATATCTGCTTTGTATACGGAGTACCTTCTTTAGAAGGAAGCGTCTTAATCCCTGGTTCCTGACCTCATCATTCAGCTGAAACTTTGGTCTCCAAAAATACCAATGATCTTTTGACTGAATCCTGGTCTATTTAAGCCCAGAGCCAAAGCTCCCTTTCTGGGAGGGGCCCTTTTGGGATGCAGGTGACACATCCTTCTTTCCCAATTTCTCTAAACTGCTATTTATTCACTTTGAGTATTTTGAGTATAGCTTTAGTTTGTCCCATCTTTGCTGGTTGGCACTTAACTATTTCAGTTCAATTCAACTAACAATCATTTAGTGTGCAAAGGACACAGACAAAACACTTTGTGCAAAACACATCTGCTGGACACTAGAGATAGGAAGACATAAATGAAACAGTCCTTGCCCTCTAAGAACTTACATTTATTAGCTGCCGCATAGTTTTGAAATTTTGTGATTACATCAGACCTATTCATTGCATTCCTCTCTTCCTTCCCTCCTTCCTTTCTCCTTTAAGTTTATGAGAAGCCTGGGTTATTCTAGCCTAATAAGGATGTCTCCGTTTACTCGTTACATTGAAGTTTCTTCAGTCACCTTAATTGAAAATTGAGCCTGTAACATAAACTTTAATGAAGCTAGTTGACACCGGCGTGGAGAAGACAGTTTCAAGATCGTCGCTGGATGTGAACACAAAAATCTTGCTAACTGAGTCTCAGACACCACGCCTGGATTTCTCCTTTGCACGTATCCGCACCTCTCACGTGCCACAGTTGTTGCTGTGTGTTGTTGTTTTTGTTTTGTTTTTTATGTACGTACAGAACTCCCTCACTTGATTTCCTTGACAAAGTCTGTGGAACATCGATCTTTGCACTCCCAGCGGAACACAGTCTGAAGGGCTGATCCCTGTCCTCCCCATCCCAGACGGCTCCTCTGCCGACCTTCCTCTTCACTCTTCCCCTCCCCCTCCTACCCTTCCGCGGCCACTATAACTTCCCCTCAGTCACGGTCCACTCGGCTCTGTCTCTCTGCGCCCCCCCCCCCCCGCCCGTCTGTCAGGAGGCAGCGCGCAGGCGCCGAGGGCCGCGCCCTCCCCCGCCCCTCCATCTTGGGGGAGGGGGACCTGCACGCCCAGCGGCGAGGGGTGTGTGCGCAGGCGGGTTGGGGGCCGGAGTTTTGGGCTACGGCGGGCGGGGACTGACTAGGCAGCGGCCGAGGCCGGCAGCGCATCAGTCTCCCGGGAGACGGCGGCGGCGAGGGCGCTGCTACCTCCTTCTCTCTCCTGGTCGCAGAGCCCGCCGGGCGCGAGGCCTCCCCATGGATTCCCAGAAAGTGAGCGATGGGGGCGGGGAGTGGCGCCCCTTCCTCGCGTGCGGGGCTGGGCGGGGCTCGTGTCCGCGACGCGGGGTGTGTGCGGGGGACAGGGAGGGGAACTCCCTCGCCGGGGCTCCTCTTACCTCTTCTTCGGGGGGGCGCGCGGCCGGATTCCCCTCCCCTCCCCGGCTCCTGGCTCTGTGGGGGCGCGGGCCGGGGAGGGATGCGCCGGGCGAGCTGGAGGCGGCGGCCCCGGGCTCCTTCATCCCACTCCCCCTGCGATGGCGCCTTCCCCCGGGCGGCCCGGCGGCAGCTCCGTTAGGATCGCGGCATCCCCGGAGAGGAGAGCGCGAGCCCACGCCCTCGTCTCTCACTCGGGACGCTGGGCCCGGGAAGGGGCCGGGCCCCAGAGCCGACTCGCACCGTGAGCCGGGGATGTTTTTGTCCCGAGTGGGAGGGGGCCGTTTGGTTTCGAGCTCAGGTTTCCTCGGCGAGGAGCGAGCGGTCCAGGCCTGTGAGTGACGAGGAGGTCCCTGTTCTGAGGTAAAACTTGGGTCCATCCCGGCGGACCCAGAGGCTCGAGGCCCAAGGAGAGGCCCCCCCCCCCGTGAAAGCACTCCACAACGATCCCTGACATCTCGGTAGATGACCTCCCCACCCGTGGGTAGTCCGTGTTCGCTGGGATTGCTGCAAAATCGATCGTTCTAGTAGTTAGCCCAGCTTTACCAAGCTTATCTCATTGATTCTCACAACCACCCAGGGAGGAGGTGTCATAATAACAACAAGAACAACAATAGCAATATTTATATAGCACTTACTACTATGCGAAACTGGCATTGTACTAAGTGCTTTACAGTTATCTCATTTGATAACTCTCAACAGATCTGGGAGGCAGATAATAGTAATAATAATAACGATAGCTAGCATTTATATGCACTTGCTTTGTGCAGGCATTGTGCTGAGCACTTTACAATTGTTGCTTCATGTGATCACCCTAACAACCTTGGGAGGCAGGTGCAATACCTGAGGTCCGGAGAAGTTAAGGGATTGGACCAAGGAGAGTCTCGAGGTAGTAAGTAGCAGAGTAGGGATTTGAAATGGATCTTCTGAACCCAAATTATGTACTTTTTCTCATACAAGACACTGCCTCTTTTAGGGAGTCTCCCGTCTCTCACATAGTTAGCATTGTAATGCTGTAATAGGAAGTAAGGTAAAAATCAAAAGTCCTGCTCTCAAAGAGCTCACAGATTAATGGGGAGAGTATTAACCCACGGTTGTTTAGTGTTTTAAGTTTAGCCAGTTTAAGTTGTTATCCTTGTTTTTATAGTTGAGGAAACAGATCAGAAATGTAAAGTAGCTTCTTAGACAGGGGTAATATACATGCTAAGTGCCAGATCAGGATTAGAACTCAAGTCCCTTGACTGCAAGTTCTCTGCTCTCCCCTCTGCACTATACTGTCTCTCTTTAAATAGCATTAAAAGGGCACTAATTTGTACTGGAGCAGGGAATCATAACCACCGTGTTCTATTTCTTCTATTTCTAGTTCTGTCACTGTCTGTGCAATCTTGGGGAAGTGAGTATGCTGTTGGACTAAATGATTTTTAAGATTTCTTCCAATTTTAACTTTTGGTGGATAATGTGATTCTTTGCTCTGGAATCTAGCTTATTCTAAAGTAAAAGTGTTTAGGGTAATGTCTTCTAAAATACTGATAAAAGCATATCTGAGATCGTTCTGTTAGAAGTTATAAAACAATTAAAAGACATGTTTAAAGAGATTTTTTTTTTTAAATTTCAAGACTGTTGAACAACATCTCGGTAGATGACCTCCCCACCCGTGGGTAGTCCGTGTTCACCGAGATTGCTGCAAAAGTGGTCATTCTAGTAGTTAGGCATGTGAGAATATAAACATTTTTTACTTGAACATTTACAATATAAAGCACAGTTAATGTATGCTTGTGTCTTCAGTGAGAAATTAGGGGATATACTCTTATGATTTCTACTTTTTATGACTAACTCTAAAGTAGGTTTCTAAATATTCTATTTTTTTGTGCTTTGGATATTTTTATGGCTTGTTCAATTTTTAAACAGAATTTTTGTTTTTAAACATAACTATTTTAGTGTCAAGTTAATGTAACTTTTTAGATGAGAAATGTTTTGACTTAAATGATTGATTATTTTATACCCATCCTACCAGTTTGGATTTAAACAAAGAGATGCCATGTGGTATAGTGAATAGAGTGCTAGACTTAAAGTCAAGAAGACCTGGGTTTGAATCCTCCTCAGATGATTAATAGCTGGGTAACCCTGAGCAAATCATTTAACCTCTGTAGGCCTTATTTTTGTAATCTCTGAAAGGAGTTTAGACTTAACCTCTAAGGTCCCTTCCAACTCTAAATCTGTGATTCTATAAACAGTAAAATATTAGTAATTTTCACTTTTGGACTCTTAATTGTGGTCAGCCATGAGCACCAGTTTATCATCATAAATATCATATTTATCATTGGTATAGCAGGATTTAATTAAACTTTATGCAATAGCAGATAAACCATACTATTTAAAAGAAAATTCATCTTATATTGTGGCATTAAGAATATTTAATGTTCTTGATTTGAATCTTCTCAGAAATTATTATAGAATTATATTACATTCTAAAATTGTTAGATGTATTTTTCTCTATGATCAAACAGGAATTTTAACATTTTCCAGACAGATACATGATAGAGTGACTATGAAGATCCCTCTATACCACTTTTTGGAAAAGTGAGGGATTGTCTGTCAGTAATCAAGCAATTATTTCCACTTAAATAGGTATTCAGGAATAAAAAAACAAAGTGGAAAGGATGATACGCATAATAACAAGGATTTGATGCTAATATTCCTTTGAATTCAGCTTTCTTTGGTATGATACAGTGTAGATTGGCTGTTAGAGAGAAACTTTGAAACGTGGTGTTTTGTTGTTCTTTTGTACAACCACTCCCCAAATGAAATCTAGTCAAGCTCACCTTTGCCCTCAGGTTACAGAGTCTCCTTTATGTCTTTAACAAATGGTTTCCATGTAATAGACCCAAATGAGGACCATTAAATCCAAATTGAAAGAGGATTGGAAGTTCTGACTCATGTAACTCCGCTGCTCTAGTTATAGGATCTGAGGCTTAACTAAAGACAGTCTTACAGTAACATGATGGCTGCTAGTCAGCAAATAGATTAGTCTGACCAGCTGCTTTTCTATCCTAGGAAGTAATTTAGATACAGTGTTATGTTACCACAGACACTGTTTGAGCAGAGGGGGGAAAAGCCAATTGCTTTGGATATGTATAGTACCATGGATACAGACAACTTCAGCATTAACTTCTATATGTAGTGGGATTTTGTTGAGTTTCTGGAACACATTCTTGCAGCAGATGTATAAAGTGTAGGTGGCTTTGTCTGTTTTTAAAAAAAAAAAGCCTTTTGAGTATATCCTTAAGTAAATTTAAGAAAATCACAAAAGTTTCTTTACTTTGGAAGTATGAATAGAAACATAGAACACTGAGATACTTGGAGGAATTTGAGGAGGTACAGGATTTAGAATTTGGGAACTGGGAAAGATTATACCTAAATTTTGGTACGGGAGACCCTCCACATGGGGAAAGCCAGTGCTCTACCTTAGTAAAGCTGGAGAAACAGTAAGTTAGGGAACAATTGGAGGAGGCTTACTGAGAGTATTATGTATGCCCCTATATTCTTTTTTTTTCCTTCTTTTCCCTTCTCAATCCAGAAGATGTAGTAGCATAAACTGTAGCCTGGAAGAGAGAATAACTAACATGATATGATTTTTTAATGTTTTACTAAGTACATTTTTTATTTGAATCTCACAACAATCTTGTGAAATAAGTTCATTTTACAACTTGAGGAAATTGAGGTCACATAGCTATAAGTATTGAAGGCAGAATTCCTGAAGTACCAGTCTGACCCTGTCACCTCCCTCCTCAATACTCCTTCGGTTCTCTGCTGCTTCCAGAATCAGATACAAAAATCCTCTGTTTGTTGTTCAAAACTCTTCATAACATTGCCTCCTCCTACCTTTTCAGTCTTTTTAGTTACTCCTGCCATGTACTCTTTAATCCAGCCACATTGACTTCTTTCCTGTTCCATGGATAAGACTCCATCTCGGCTCTGAACATTTTCTTGGCTGTCCTCTATGCCTCGAATGCTCTCCCTCCTCATCTTGGTTTATTGATTTCCTTGACTTCCTTTAAGTCCTGGCTAAAATCCTATCTTCTACAGAAAGTTATCCCCATTCTAGTGCTTTTCCTCTATTAATTATTTTCCATTTATAGCTTGTTTGTATATATTTGTTTGCTTGTTGTCTCCCCCATTTAGATAGTAGGCTCCTTGAGGGAAGGGACTGTCTTTTGCCTCTTTTTTGTATCCTCAGCACTCTGCAAAGTGCTTGGTACAGAATAGATGCTTAATAAATTTTTATTGACTGATTTACTGACAGAATCTGAATCCAAATCTCTCCTGACTCAAAATTCAGTGTGATAACTTTTTATTTTTACTGGGGAGATTTAGAACATTTGAGGGAGCTTGAAGTTTGCAGTTTTTTAACTTTGTCTTGATAGCTTAACCTTGAGTTAGTCACCTCCTGCAGATATTTGAGAAATATGATTTGTCTGGTACTTAGGACTTGAAAGTCCTAAGCAGAACTGGGAGTGAGTAAGCAAGTTTTATCTTTGGTCCATTGCTCCTTGTTCTTTCTGATTCCTCTCCTTTTTCTTTCAACCTAACACTGCCTTCTCCCTAAATCTTTTTTTTCTGCCTCAGTGTTAAATATCTTTTTGATGTTTAAGCTCTCTACATAAGCCTACCTATTCCAAACTTATCCCTGTTTATCTTATGCAGAATTCCTCTTCCGTGAATGCTGCTGGTGTCTGCAGTGTATAAAACTGATTAAAGTTAATTCTTGGGAAGGTGTGAATACTTGATATGTCTAACCTGCTCAAAGTTATCTAATTTCCCACAAAAAATAAGAATAG